AGACGAAAGTGGTGAGCGCTATAATCCTCCAAGAATGCATGTCTGATGGCGCTGTGCAGGGCCGCTCTATGAGCCTCCCTAGCATCCTCGGGAACGCCATTCAGGGCCGTGTTGATTGCATCCGCGTGGGTGATCCTCAAGTTGCGGGGCGCCAGCACCATAGCAGCAGCGGCAGCGGCAGAAGTCCTGGCGCTTGTTGAGTCACGTCGTACATGGCGAATCGTCTCTTGTCCACGCAAGCGGACTCTGGGGATGTCACGACTGCGTCCGTGTCTTGGCGGCTTCAGATAGACGCGATGGTACCCTGGGCCTCCAGCAGCTCTTGCCTGCAGGTCAAGGTGTTGGAAGCCGAGGCGAAGAGGGGTGGTGAGTGTCTCTCCTCGTGCAAAGCACCGTGCTCCTCACCTTTCTGGTGTGTGTCCTAGCAGACGCAAGGTACACAGCAACAGCCAAAAGGCATGTGAAGTGCAGTGCAACGCTATGGAAAAGGACGCGCATAGTGGCGATGCGGCTTTTGCAAAGCGGGGTGCAAAGCTTTGGGAGCGGAGTGAAATCAAAGAATGGCCGTTGAAGATCTGCACTGGCCAGCAGTGCAGTCCGTCTCGAAGAGAAGTGGTATGATGGAAGCGCGGAGGGAGCAGGGAGGGCCTTGTTGGGCATCTATTGACATTCCAACACCACATCAGCTGCAGGCGCGAAGACGAGTGGGTATCTTCAGCTGGGTTGCACATTCTTGCCGCTGATTCACCGGTTGTCACGCTGTCCTGCACTGGGTGGTTGCTTGAAGCTACGGGAACGGGGATGTACATGACGAGCGCCGCAATTCAGTGGCCAGGCGGGGCGCAGAAGTGATTTGCCTGGGTGGCGTGGCATGCCTGGCGCTGCTTCGCCGTCAACGCGCTCAGCTGACGTTGTCGGCGTGATCCAGGATCTGGCGTGCGGTCAACCTTCTCGCGGTTCCGGCCAAAACAAGCTCCACCATCATGGCGCAGGCCACGCGATGTCCGCAGAGGTCGGCTTTGTTTCAGCCTCACACTACTCGACGCCAATTTGCACAAAACACGCGCCTCGTGCGGCAAAGCAAAACACGGTGACGCCGATCGGCCATGGCCGATGTCTCAGAACCGAGCACGCAGCACGTGTCATCAACAGCAAGAGCGAGGACTATCGGAGAGCTGCCTCGCCCGGCCTTGAATAAAGCGCATGCGATGAAGTCGCAGTGTGGTTCAAGCTTGAAGAAGTGTGCTCACGGACAGTCACAAGTTGGGCGCGCTCACGGACCCATAGTCGCAGATCAGTACCTGATGGGTGAAGAACAACACCATGGACGATGAGTACACGTTTGGTGCGAACGCTTACCTTCGCGGGTATCGCTGCACGCTAGAGCACTGAGGCGAATCAGACATGTGCGCTCTCTAATCAACACGCCAGCCAGCTTAAAAATGCGAAAACACCATACACGGTGGCATCACATGACATCGAAGCTCATTGCCGAAGAAGCTGCTGCTGACCTGACCTCGCATCAAGACTGGAAAATGACGGACCGTCATGGAATGACATGCGTTCTACACGACGAGCATCAAGTATACCACGATCAGTCTTCATTTTTCATGTGACGTAATGGTGTTGCCGTCATCACCGTTTGAAGGCGCTTGAAGGGCACAGCCAGGCCGCTTCCTCGGATGAGAGCCACGAATGTCGCTGGCTCTTCATGACGGTGGCACGTCACAAGTCCGCTGCGTTGTTACACCTTCTGGTCGTAGCGTGTGCTTCGTCCAGCGGAGCTTTGACCTTTAAGGCTCCTTTTGTCGCCACTGCTGCTCTTTCGGATCACCCAAGGTGACCTGCCTCGAACGGGAGCAAGCCCGCGTGCGGGAACGTCATCTTACCACACTCGACTTCCTACAGCATATAAATAAGAGGCCTGTGGATCAGAAAGGCGCCCTCTCGCCTCTCGTCATCAACTGCAAGTGTTTACAGCGCAACTGCCTCGCGAACAATAGCAAAGACGAACACGACACTTACAACACAAGTAAACAAAAATGATCGCTCGCGGAATCTTTGCTCACCTTGCCGTCGTCCTCTGGACTACGTCATTCTGCTTGGCTCATCCTTTGGGTACGTCGGCAGCTTGGTCGAAGCCGCAGGGCGTGAGTGTTGGTGCCCCGTATCGTTCCATCTGCGCACTCAAGTAGATGTCTCTTTGCGCAGCTCGTCCATTCTCGAAGCTTGGACCAAAACGACGCCATTCGCGCCACTCTTCATACGCGCGCAGATAATGGAGAGCCAAGTCAGCGAGCGGCTAAGCCCCTTGGAACGCCAGCTCAAGTGACCTGGCATCGGCCAACACTTGAAGCAATCACCAATCCAGCTATGCGCGACCATATAAACGACAAAGTCAGAGAATGGAGCTCCGACTTCACCGACATCGCTGGCGTCCACGTCAAAAGTGTCGAGCCAGCGGGACATAGTGGT